CGAGATCGAGAAGCTAAGACCAAGAAGAACTTAGCCGAGACCAGAGACGGCGAGCTGAGCTGAATGAGATTCCATTAAGTTGAGTGAGAGAAGAGATCAAAAAGCAATGAGGGAAAGATAGATTCACAGAACAGAGCAAATCAATGAACTGAGCAAAACCAGATTCTGAGCAAAACTAGATCGAAGGTCTACCTGATGAAGGTCTGCCAAAGGTCGACGAGCTGAGTCTGTATCTGAACTCTGAGTTATTGAGCTGAGCATCTAGGGTTCATGACTTCATGTGCTTTGCTATGTTACTGTTGCCCTTTCTTCTTCATGGATTCGTGTAGTTCGTGCGTCTACGGTCTGTTGATTTCCCTTGCCTAGTTCTAGACTTCCACGGTGAGAGTGTTTTCCTTTCTTCTTCGTGGATTCGTGTGCCTGCGCCTGCTACGGTCTGCCAATTTCCTTGCCTTTCTTTCTTCGTGTGGTGGTCTGGTGACTGGTGGATTCGTGTTTCAATTCACTTGCCTTGTCTAGACTTAGACTGGACTTGCTGACTTAGATCTTGGAGTGTTGGAGAGTGGACTTTGGATTGGACTTTAGATCGTGTGTGTGTATGACTGTGGGCTGGGCATGGAGTATAGACTGTGCATTGGTGTGGAGTGTGGACCGCGCGTGTGTGTGCACTGTGCAGTCGGACATTGCTCAACCCTCCTCAGCTAAAAAAAAAAATTTTGCGGGCTAGCCCGTTTAACCCGCATAATTTTATGGTTTGAGCTAACCCAACCCGTTTTTTTAAATGGGCTCATTTTGCCAACCCAAACCACAAAAAATTACCGGTTAACGGGCTAGCCCGTTGGGTTGAACCCATTTGCCCGGCTCTAATAAATTATCCAAACAACAATTTAAGGCCCAAATTACATTTCAAATACTCCCTTCATTCAAAAATATAAAATATTTTTTGAGAAGTTAGATTTTGAAAAATGTAAGGCAATTTTAGTCTTTCGAGGTGTAATTATTGTCTTGTTTTCAAAAGTGCCCTTGTTGATAATAACTTTATATTTATTGTAGGGTATTTAATATGAGAAAATATGAAAATATAAGGTTAGTTGAAAAGTAGATAACTATTTTATTGGAGGGCGAGATTCAGTTAAAAATGCCTTACATTTTTTAATAGAAGGAGTATCATAAACCTCTATAAATATAAGTGTATGCACAATATAACCAAATTGACAATAAACTCATCCATTACACAAGATAAATGAAGTAAGGATGCATTACGATAGGGATACTCAAATTTTTAAGCCCCTGGAGTATTTTGTCTTTTCACATCAGAGCTAGAAGCTTGTAAAATATTGAAAGAGAGGGGTGAGTTTAGCCACTCAGGAACCAAAATACGCTTATCCTATGCAATTATATCAAACAAAGGAGATTACTCAAAATATGAGATTAAACATAATTCAAGTTGTAATTTCACAATAGATTCATTTTTCATATTTCTCCTTTCAAAAACATTAGGTATGTTGTCACAATACACTCAAACTTGTAACAAAGACCAAATTTAGCACTCGATGTATATCACCACAATACAAACAATCACGAGACAATGGCATGTTCACTATCATGACTTACCACAAATTTAACAACAATGTGACACGTCAAATATGCACATATAAATGATCCATTCCTCATTATATCTTCTGATTAAAATCATGGGCTATAAAATCAATCAGGGCTTTATTTGTATAATTAGACTACTTAAGCTCACTAATTGTGAGATGTAACTTGACCAAAGATTATAATACTTATTCTCAGACCATGACTTTTCCCACTCTCAAATCTTTAAGATGTCGTATACCCTAAGCTAATCTGCTCGATAAACAGGCGAAAATGGCTAGGTTTTAGTCCCTCGACAAACAGTGAAATAAGGCTAGGCCTTTGTGCACCGGAAAGGAGTCATAAGTACCATATGAATTTTTACACACTCATCGCCCTAGGTGAAATCCTGCCAAATGATCATACAATATGTGATACTTACTCATTTCACAATTTTCTTTACTCAATAACTACCTATTGGGCTCACGGTATGACGCTCCTCAAGTAAGCATCAATGTCATATTCACAAGCACTCTCTTTTTCAATTTTAAGTTCTATAACACATTTTAAATTTTCATTTAGCTACACATATAATACTCACATGCCAACACAAGCACACTTAACATCGCATCACCCATTATAAACTTTTCCTTTCAATACAAATTCATAATTTGGAAATATTCGAGTTCAACTCTACATTTATGTAAGATCATAATTAATATACTAACATATGATTTATAACATGCTTTTACATTTACAAATTTAATCATACACACAAATAAATTCATTTTCACATTAAAACTCAATTTACAAACAACTACATAATATAAGATTCTTTGACTACTTTAAACTTTTGAGAGGTCAAAGGTTTACCCCCTTAATATATGCTTCCAAGTTTGGCTTTCAATCCAAAATGGTGCCCAAATGATCACTTTTCAATTAGTCAAGTCGAAACTCAATTAACATTGCTACAAATATACTTTCAACTCTCATTTTCTATTGTTACAATACTCAATCCCTTTATTTATCATATTTATACTTACCCATTCAGTGTGTTAACTCTATATAGCCATATATAGCTTCATTAAACTCTCATGTTATCATTGATGGCTTTCTAAACACCTTGAAGACCCACATTAATGGCTCATTTTTGGATTTAATGGTCACCCATACCATTAATGCTTAACCCCTTGTTAATGATTTCAACCACTAAAATAACTTCCATTAACTCTATTTAATTTAATGGATTCACACCCATACATATATGATTCGAAACTAATCTTCCACTATTAAACCCTAACCAAAAACTTAATAGAATGGGTTAGGAAGGGAGAAGAAGAGGTTAGCTAACTTACTCTTGGGGTTGGGTAGCTTCAAAATGCCTTTATCCTTCTTGAAATTGAAGCCCTAGCAGAGCCCTCTTCGTTCTCTTAGTTTCTCTCACAATCCCTCTTTTGTTTTTCTATCTGTTCATGTCTCTTTTCCTATAGAAAACATACCATGAGTTGCGACATATAGTATAGAGAGGGCTATCTCTCGTCTCTTGGTCTCATGCGTCCGCAGCACACTACTTACATGCCGCAACATGTGGTATAAAGGCCTTCTTCCTTTGTTTTCCACCTCTTAGAATGCCCAAGTAACCCAATTTTACTTTGGAACCAAATTTTATGGTTGAAATCACACCAAAAACACCTATTAGTTTTCTCTGATCACATGCCATATAATTCCTACTTAATTAAATTTGATAAATTTAATGATAACCCAAGGATTAAATTTCAAGATGTTATATAGTGTCCTTAGCCCTTAGGGACTCAAGTTGAATTTGCTACCTACCACCTACTACCAACATTCTTCAATTTCAATCTATGAAGCAGCAATTTCAATCTCAGTGACAACTAAAGCACCAACACAAATATAGCAAATGAAATACTAATAGGAAAACTTACAAAATATCTTATAAAATTAATTTTACTTTGACTTTAAAGAAAGATTGTTCAGACTTGTGCCCGTTTCAAGTAAAATTGACAAGGGTCGCATAGTAAAAATCAAGTTCAAAACTTAGAGATGCCTGTGAACTACGAAGCTCAAGTTCTTTCATATTCCAAATATCATTCCTTAGCTATTGAATATATGAAAAGTTGCAATTGCCAAAGAACTTGCAAGTGAGACCATGCAATGTTAATTATGTTCAATTTGAGACAAATTCCCAAACTGAGACATCAAAGTGCTACTTGCAAAGTAAGCGTAAAAAAAGATAGTTTGACAAGGGGCAAAATAAATAGATAATCCCACCTTGAATGATTACATACTTCCATTTAAGGATTGAACAAAGGCAACATAATAAATAGAAAACTTTACATAATGTGATGATAAGATAATTAGTCCATTCCATTTGATTTCAACTAAGAATTTAAGAACAAATAACCAATTAAAATACTAGTTTTCAAATGGGTAGGGCAGAAGATAAACTCAAAGAATTCAAAAACTTTCAATCTACCTCTATTTGTGAAACAAAAGATGCAAGAGAAAATAAACTCAAGTGATTGATTGAAGCAAATAATCGATCCTTGAAGATGGAGTGTAAGGAGGTTGAAGATGAATCCAAATTGATGAAACAATAATCTAGGGTGACTTGATCAAACTTAATGAAAGAATTAAAATGTGCCACAAGGTTGAAGATAGAGTGTAAGGAGGGGTCCTTAAAGGCGCAAAATTAAGATTTGCATGGAAACATCGCGCCTCACCATCATTGATGACAAGGCAAAAGTCATGGTTCGAGAACGATTAGGATAATTTGATCATTTGAAACTCCAAATTAATGTCACTTGGAACTCTCAAGTCCTAGTGAGCAAAATAATTTGTGGTGGAGTCATTTTCAACAATTTTTCCTTTAAAATTTATAACTTTTTATCAATAACTTTAATTATTAATTTAACTACTAGCAAATCTCTCTGTTCTCCTCCTCTCTTTTGTATAACTAATCAACCTTTTAGAGTAGCATCTGAATTTATCTTTGTAAACATAATGGACTTGAAGAGTGATAAAAACAAAAAATATAAATATAGTTATGATTATGATTATGAATGGAAATGATACGTGAGTTATATATACACTGCATAATATTCTATTTACGGGCGACTATCTATAATTCATGACAATCTATATCTACGAGTTATAAACATGTGATATTTTAAGATATTATTATTATTATTATTAATTAAAAATTGATGCTCGTGGGTAATCAATATAATAGACAATAGACAGTAAATTTACGGAAGCTAGTCTAGATCCTGTGAAAAGTAAGCTGATTACTGATTGTAATTCACAATTACCACTATTATTAATAATTAACTATACCCCTTGCGACGAGACACCAATAAAGTGAAGATTTCTGGGCTGATATTTTCTCCATACTCAAATACATTTATTGTAAGAATTTGAAGCAACTTCTGGATAACAGTCAGTGGTGCCTCAGAGACAGAGTGCTCAATTCTGAAACCCCATTATATTATATTATAATAATTATAAATTATAAATTACATAGTCAGTATAAAGCGCTATGATCGAAGGGGGACTGATTATTGGCGCAGACAAACTGAGCAGCGCTGCGATAGCATCCGGGTTGACGTCCGGGCATCATCATCCACGTCGTGTTGGAGGTGCTCAAGCTAGAAGTCGCATTGCTTCAACTGCGAGGTTATGCAGACTTGATTATGGGAAACATGATCTAACGGGATCAAAATCCTCGCATTCTGAGTCCATCGCCAGGTTCCTTCTTGCTTCTTTGATTATTGAACTGAATCGTACGTTATCTTTTCACCGAGTGGGACATGCTGTGCTGCTGGGGCTTAAAATGCCAATGGTAGTGTATATTCTTTGATTCTTCTCTGAATTTTCTGACCAATGTTGCTGTTGTCTTTAGTGGGTTGATATTTCTTTTCTGTTATAATTGTTCTCGATGGAGCATGATTGGTAATCAGCAGTTGCGCCTCTTTTTCTGTCTGTAATTCAAATGGCTAGTAGGTTCTTGCGGCAAAATTCCATTAAAGAGAAGACAGAATTTTGAAGGGGGTTGTGAATTGAAATGTCATATTTAACCATGTGACAGAAATTCGGGCCAGACGCGTGTTTCGTTTTTATGGGAGCTAGATTCATATTTTTAAAATATAGTTTGCTATTGCTAGAGTTTGAATCGTTGCCTGTGAATTTACTTGCTCCAGTCTATCTGATGCATGGGTATATGTTCCTGATAACTATTCTGGTTCTGCTTTTGGATAAATCCTGATCATGGCATTGCACAATTTTCTTCTGATTTTCATTTTCTCCCAGGGAAGTATTTTCATGATCAGTTTTCACAATAGTTTCTCTTGGGTTTACTTTTATTATTGGACACCTAATTTAAAGACTTTTTTGGTTCGCAGAAAGAAGAGGTTTTGCAAGAAGCTTCTTACTAAAGGTTTATGCTTAAAATGGCTAGCTCCAAAGGTCAGAAAGTCACTGGCAAAGTCAGCTCAGGGAATATGATTTTTCAGCCTATATTGGAAGATGTGTTTTCCGATTCGATTGTTCTGTAAATGATAGAGATGCAGCATATCCGAGTGTTTCTTTTGCGAATAGCAGAAATAGAGAGACATCAATCACAAGTGACAAAGTTCCTTCATATATTCCTACATTTGAATGTCTTCTGGGGCAGCAGGTTATCAAACTTGAGGTTCGCTACTCTGATTTGTGGCGTTGTATCTTATGATGGTTGTCTTACATATTTTTGGCATTGGATCATTTTTAAGTTACTTTCATTACGTTGTGCTAGATTGTTCTTTCTTCTGTTAAGTTCTTTTTCATTTTATTATGTGCTTCTTATCCAATTTACATTCCCTTCGGAAATTGACTAAATTTGCTTCTGATACAGCTGCCTCTGGGTACTTCCCTCTATGGAACTGGAGAAGTTAGCGGACAGCTCGAGAGGACTGGGAAGAGAGTACGTCATATCTGTTTTTGGCTTTTCAACTTATTAGAATTTAACTTGTCATCTTGGTGCTTATATATTAAATTTCATTCACAGGTTTTCGCATGGAACACAGATGCATGGGGTTATGGTCTTGGTACTACATCCTTGTACCAATCACATCCCTGGGTGTTAGCTGTCCTTCCAAATGGAGAGACACTAGGAATTCTGGCTGACACTACAAGGCGGTGTGAGGTGCTCTTACACCTGACTTTATGTCATTTAGTCTTGTCAATCTTTAAGAGACTTTTATATTTACCTGTTCAATATTAATGATTTCTGTTCATAAGCAGATTGACCTGAGGAAAGAATCAACAATTCGATTTGTTGCTCCCTCCTCCTACCCTGTGATTACATTTGGTCCATTTGCTTCACCTACTGCTGTTTTGATATCTTTATCTCATGCAATCGGTAATTTTCTGAGAAATTATCTTGTCATCCATTACACTCCGGATTCCAGAACGTCTCAATGATAAGCAATATCTCTTATATCACAATTGTGACAATAAATCATTGTATAGGGAGTTGACCCAAGATGAATTTGTGCAAATTCTTTATTTGAAAGGGCTGAGGTCTTTTCTATCTTGTAGAGCATTGGGGAAGCCTGTATCGATAAAAGACAATACCTATTTTATCATGCTTTGTTAACTCCTGTGTAAAGTATGATTTTATTAAAGCAAGAGCCAAGAGTTTATCAAACCCTTGTCTTAAAGTAAAGGCAATATTTATATATATATATATATATTTAAATCTAGAAAGCATGCTATTTGTTGTTTGATGTTATGCTATGTGTATTATTATTTTCTCTGCTAGAGGTGCTGCGTGTTTGCTTTAGTTTCATATTGGAAGTTGCCACTCGCTTCCACAAAATCCATGATTTTATGCTATATGCACTTTTTCAACTATGTTTAAGCTATTTATGATGACAATCCCCTTTTCATTTTTAAAATTATATGCATATTCTAGATGTAAATTGGCATCTTTTAAACACTTCTATAGTGCAAGAATGTAATTAGTTTGATGGTGGAAGAAAGATACTTCCTTATAATTTCCCCCCTTTTTCAGGGACTGTGTTCATGCCCCCAAAATGGTCATTAGGTTATCACCAATGCCGTTGGAGCTACGACTCTGATAAGAGAGTTTTGGAGGTATTGTTGTTTCTCAGTCTCTGACCTATGGTGATCTTAGTGAGTAATTGCATTTGTTCTTCAATCTGCTGAAATTTTTATTACATGTGATGCGTTCCTGTACAAAGTCTGAGCTCCAGATACTGATATAATGTGCGAGCTGCTGAACAATTTCTTCCCCCCCCACCTTCTCTTACACTCGTTTTCTCCTGTTTTAACTCTTTGTTTGGTAGGTACAAAGAATTTTCTTTCAAATTTATCATGCTTTCATTTATAGTGACGCAAGATATCTGGGCATGTCAGATGCATTTATGAAATATGCCTATGCATGGATTTGCCTGACATCACATTTAATATTTCTTTGACTTGTGGACAACTTACATTCGCAGGTTGCAAGGACATTCCGGGAGAAAGGCATTCCTTGCGATGTGATATGGATGGATATAGATTACATGGATGGATTTCGATGTTTCACCTTTGATAAGGCGTGTTCTCATGCTTTTATCTACTTTAGGGGCTAAATTGGTTTAGTTTTCAGTAACTTGTTTCCTCCCCCGATAGAACAGATAGGTAGTAAATTTCATGAATCATGTTGCATCAGATCTTCAAAAAATGCATCCTGATTCATATAGCGGTGAGTGATGCCGTCCATATTTTCTTTTTAATTCCTAATTTGAAAATGATCAATATTTTCCCCTCATCTCTTCCTTTTCCTTTTGTTGTAGATGTCTAGCATCAGTAAGTTGAATAGTCCTTATCTATGACCTGTTGTTTTGGGCTGGCTATCTTTAATAAGTCTATCAATCTTGTTCTTCACAGAAGAGTTCAAGTATTATATTTTTTGCAGGAGCGTTTTCAAGATCCAAAGTCTTTAGTCAAAAATCTCCATGATGATGGTTTCAAGGCTATATGGATGCTTGATCCTGGGATTAAGCATGAAGATGGGTATTTTGCCTATGACAGTGGTTCTAAAAATGATGTTTGGGTTCAAAAGGCAGATGGAACACCTTTTATTGGTAAGTCATTTCTATATGTGTCACTACACTCCTCATCCTCCTCCTATGTTGCATGAAGTACGTCTATTTATATTTAGGGGAGGTGTGGCCGGGACCTTGTGTCTTCCCAGACTATACACAGTCTAAAGTTCGTGCTTGGTGGGCTAATTTAGTTAGAGATTTCATTTCCAACGGTGTTGATGGTATATGGAATGATATGAATGAGCCTGCTATCTTTAAGGTATTTCTAGTCACCGTCTAGCGAAAAACAGCGACCTCTCCCTATGTGTAACTTTTTTGTGTGTATTGTTTCTTTCCTTTTTCTTTTTTTCCAGGTTGTTACAAAAACAATGCCTGAGAGCAATGTTCACAGGGGAGACAAGGAGCTTGGAGGCTGTCAGAATCATTCTTTTTATCATAACGTATTATTCTTTAACCTCTATAAAGATTATGGTGTCACATTTCTTTTCATTATAAGCTTGTGTTGGGCCAATATACAAGTAGGATGCACTTTGATCACATAGGATTCTGCTGCGCATCTTGATTTTGATGCTAGTTTTATAACTTTAAGCTTGTTGATTATTTTGCTATGGCTTAGGTATATGGACTGCTGATGGCAAGATCAACCTATGAAGGCATGAAGCTAGCTAATGAAAAGAAGCGTCCTTTTGTTCTTACTAGAGCTGGATTTATTGGCGGCCAAAGGTATGCTGCAACGTGGACCGGAGATAATCTTTCAAATTGGGATCATCTCCATATGAGCATCTCCATGGTTCTTCAGCTGGTAAGAATATTTCTCTTGAGCAACGTTTGCAGCTGGCTTTCTTCCTGTTTAGTCATGCAGTTTTAAGTAGATTGGTTCAAGTATGTATGCCCCTGATTCTCTGTTATGATTTTTCCTTTGCTTCATGCATTTTCAAGTCTATGGGATATGTGTTGTGTGAAGACTTGGCATAGATTGTATTTCTGTCTGTGATTGTATAGGTATGCGTAGTCATAACCGTAAGCTAATTCTAATACAGCATAGTTGTATATCCGTGTAGCTTGTGATGATAAGCTCATGATAAGCGTGAATATTAGAGTGGAATTATGTGACAGAATAATGGCTAGGAATTCCTAATTAAGCTATATAAACTCCACCCCTGTACACTGAAGGAACAACGAATCTATAGTATTTCACAGAATTTTCATATTGCCCTTTCTTTCTTCCTGTATGTCAAACTGGTTATAAGTTGTGTCCCTTACCCAAGTGCTTGAACATTGGAAAATAAGTTTATCGAAAGGATAATATGCCTTGCGGTGCTGTTACACTTTGCCACTTTAGTGGCAATCGTGAAAAATATAGGAAGCTACAATAAGCAGATTTGATGAATCATCCATTCCATTTTGTCTCTAAGTTGTGCTTCATTCTTTCAAATGGCTTTGCTGTTGGATTGTTTTGTGCGCTTGCTTGAGAAAACTTTACACAGTGAGAGTCTCTAATATTTGTAGTTCTACAGTTTAACTTAAATTCTTAATGAGAAGCATCCTTTTTCTTTCCCTTTTCTTTTTGAACATATGGTTCAGCACTAGAAATATGGTCTGTATTTACTATAACTACTTCAAAATTCACGCTCTTTAATCTTAATTAATGTTCAGGGACTCAGCGGTCAGCCACTTTCAGGGCCTGACATTGGTGGATTTGCTGGAAATGCAACACCTAGGCTTTTTGGAAGGTGGATGGGTATAGGTTCCATGTTTCCCTTTTGCCGTGGGCATTCTGAAAAAGATACTGTTGACCATGAGCCCTGGTCTTTTGGAAGCGAGGTTTGTTCATCTTTGGCTAAATAAAATATAAAATCAATCATTCTGGGTTTTATTAATTAGGTAATAAGTAAATCTATGCCACTTGGAAGCTGGAACCAGAATGTATCAAGGCTGTAAAGTTTATATTGGTCATTAATTTGTCCCCAGGTTATCTTTTTTTGAGATTATGGAACAATAAATATAATGTTTCACTTTCATTTCATTTTATTTCCTGCTTTATGTTTTGGTGCGTGTAGTATGCAAAATATTTTCTTCTGCTACTTGGTAACATGGGCCAGGTGAAGCAGAGCACTCAGTTACTTTCATGGTCACATAGTTAGCCTGCAAATTTAACTGAGACAAAGCAATAGTAGGATTTGGCTAAATATCTTCAGATGTTGCTTGATAAGGAGGTGAGACAGTTTTAGGAATAGGGAGACATTTATTGATTCTCTGTGGAGCAGAAATCATGGAGTAATAATAAGGTTTAGTTCCAAAGAAGGTAAATTATAATAAACATGATTGAGACTAGGACTATGACATCTGTAGCCCTGTTGATATTAGATATATTCTGGAAAAGTGCATTTAACAGATTTTGGATCTAACTTATCAAGGCTAATGTGTTGTTCATGTCCAGAAAACAGCTATTCTATGAGGCAAACAAGAAAAGTTTCTTAGGAAAATAAACAAGAACATGGTTTTACCACTAAGAACTGAAGATGGAAGTCTGTTGATTAAATAAAAGCTGTAAGAATTGCATCACTTTAAAAAAAATTGTGCATTTATTTGGAACATTAAGGCATAACAAACTAACTAAAATAGTCAGATGAATTCTGTTAGCTGTGTTTTTAATGCACGTATCATCTGCTGCACTGTGCATCATTAACTTTAGTTGGTGTTCAATAGTGTGAAGAAGTTTGTCGATTGGCATTGAAGAGGCGCTACCGCATTTTACCGCTTATCTACACACTTTTTTATTTCTCTCATACAAGAGGCACTCCAGTGGCAACCCCTACTTTCTTTGCTGGTGGGTTCTTGTTCATTGACTACTTGAAACTTCTTTTGGTTTAGTTGATGAATTTTGACCTTTCTTTATGAACATAAAACTTATCTATACCTTGATATTACAGATCCGAAAGATCCAAGCTTGAGAAAACTTGAGGATTCTTTTTTGCTGGGCCCAGTTTTAGTACATACAAGGTTCTTCCACTTCCTTATTGTAGTGTATCATCAATCTAGAGGAACGTCAAATTGCTGAGCGGCCTTTTTTCTTTTTCCGTTTTTTTTTTAATATCTTGGCAGGAAGTAAGTTGGTTCTCCTAATGCTCTTATGCATGCTACTAGGTTATAAGTTTCTGCTTTTGATAGAAAATATCGAATTTACTATCTTCATTGTTGATCCATCCTCAATGACATTAATGTTTGTCTCAATAATAGCTATGTCACCTATGTGTATATGGGAATAACACTGACAAGTACCATAGTGAGAAAAACGCTTTTGCAAATGCAAACTCCTTTTCAGTTATTGTTCCCCCTGAAGATAAAGATTCTCAATGTCTATTGTGGCTTCTGATGTTTTCCTCCCTTGTTGGATTCTGTTATTTGTTGCCTTTCTCATTCAAGTAGATTGCACCTAATCTGATATGGGTGCTATTATAATTTGAAAATGTACTACTGTTAATATTTTATTTATTGCCTTTCTCATTCAAGTAGATTACACTTTATCTGATATGCATGCTATTATGATCTAAAAAATGTAATACTTTTAATATTTTCTCTTTTGTGGAATCTATATGAGCATTGTGGCCTCAGGAACTGTTATGGTCCTTGCTTGGATAGCTGGACTCTTGTTTAATGAGGCTTGAAAGATTGATAAAGAAACTGTTTTCTCATTTCCTGTATAAATGTACTGATTTAACTTCTTTTCATCCCCCCTCAGAACCTTACCCAATCAAGGGTTGAATAATTTGAAGTGTACATTGCCAAAGGGTATATGGTTGAGTTTTGATTTCGGGGATGCACATCCGGTATTACTGCTCATTTTAGTTGATGTTTGTTTAGTTGTATATGTATATTTATGTACCAGATCCGTTTTCTTTTATTCTAATTTTTATCTTTTTGGGGTCTCCCAGGATTTACCAGGTTTATATTTAAAAGGTGGCTCAATTATACCTGTGGGTCCTGCTATTCAGCATGTTGGTGAAGCCAGTCTATCAGATGACTTGACACTTCTTGTGGCCTTAGACGAGCATGGTAAGTCCACTGTCCATACATTCATTCAAACCTTGGCAATTGACTGTTAGATTGATATTTTACCTACAGCAGCTTTAAGATTAAGATTAATTATTAACAGGGAAAGCTGAAGGTTTTCTATTTGAGGATGATGGTGATGGATATGAATTCACTAAAGGTGAATATTTATTGACCCATTATGTGGCTGAACTTCAATCGTCAGCTGTAACTGTGAGTGTATACAAAACTCAAGGATCGTGGGACAGACCTAAACGACAATTGCATGTTCAATTGTTGCTTGGTGGGGATGCAATGGTATGAGCCAGGTTCCTTTTTTATATGTAAGATTAATATAGTTGTAAACCGTAAAAATATCCTTGGCTAATTCATTTTAATTTTTTCTGCATCCCTGACATGAATGTTTATATCAAGTTGAATTTACTGAACAGCTTGACACATGGGGAATGGATGGAGAAGTTCTGCAACTAATGTTGCCTTCAAAAGAGGAGGTATCTAAGTTGATATCTACTGGCGAGAAGCTATACAAGAATCGACTGGGTATGCATTCCTTTGAAACATTTGAAGCTTATATTATGCCTAAAATGTTTTATTTTCTTGTTTAACTTTTTCTCTGCTGTCACAGTCCTTATCCTCTTTGTGCTCACTAGTTTGCATACATTACAGCATCCTTAAAGAGCCTTATTTCTTTAAGAAATTGTAATGTCCATATGAAGTTTTCATGATACCAATTAAGATTTGCTGTATTCCCTCAACATTTTGCAGATAATGCTATTCAAATTCCTGATGTGGAAGAGGTTTCTGGACGCAAGGGAACAGAGCTGTCAAAATCTCTCATTGAATTGAAGAGTGGTGATTGGGTTCTTAAAGTCGTCCCCTGGATTGGGGGCAGAATCATCTCCATGATGCACACTCCTTCAGGTACGATTGATTCTTTGTCAATAACTTATCTGAGTTTTCTTGCGAAGACCAAAATTTTGAATTTTTTTTTTTTGGAGTAGCTCACAAACTTCTGACTGCTGTAAAGTTCCTGCTTCTTAAATTTACTATCATACACCACCGCTACACCCCCCCTGGGGGGCAGGTCTCAAGCAATTCGTACATTTGCACATCTTAATTATTCAATCTGGACATGTACCTCAATAATTATAAAATTCCTTTTTGGTAGTTCCTGTAACATGGTGGTTTTCATTATATCCATGTTAAATTAAAAAAAAGGTGCAAGGTTTCCCTATGCCAAATAGATGTGCTTTTTTATGTTGTTTGTAATATTTTTTTAAATTACTTGGTGATTTACGATTTGTTCTAGGAACACAGTGGCTCCATAGCAGGATTGAGATCAACGGGTACGAGGAGTATAGTGGTACAGAGTATCGTTCCGTTGGGTGTTCCGAGGAGTACTTTGTTATCGAGTAAGTCTCATTTCCACATGTCTTTGTTGGGGAAATTTCATTGCTGAAAAGCTGCTGAATCCACTGTACATGCTTGTAAATAATTTCAATACTTGAGATGTTGTCAGGGTTTTGTTTACATGTTTTTGCGCTCATCCCCCATCCCTACCCTCTTTTTCTATGGTATATGTTAAATTTCTTCTTGTTTCCTTTTCTTGCAGTCGAGAACTTGAACATGCAAGAGAGAAGGAATCTCTCCTATTGGAGTGTGACATTGGTGGAGGATTGGTTCTTCAAAGGCAGATCTATTTTCCAAAGGATTCTACCAAAGTTTTCCGGATAGACTCCAGCATATTAGCTTGCAGCGTTGGTGCTGGTTCTGGAGGGTTCTCAAGGTTTTATCTGACAGCTTCCCTCTTATACTGACAACAGTAGCATTATCTATGATATATAATATGAAATATTAAGTTGAATTTGTCGTGGAATTTAATTACTTTTAAACATAAGGCCATAGATCTGTTTAACAACTAGTGTACCTAGCTCATTAATTTCATTTTTTGTGACAGCATGTAGTCTTTCTTAATTAATAAATTTTTATCACTCTTCAGGTCTTCTAAATTCTAAGCAGCTAAGCGCTCCCTCATATTTACTGTAGGTTGGTCTGCTTAAGAGTTCACCCAACATTCAATCTCTTCCATCCATCAGACTCTTATGTCTCATTTACTTCAGTTGATGGATCAAAGCATGAGGTCTTTCCAGAATATGGGGAGCAATTTTTTGAAGGGAACCTTCTTCCTAATGGTGATAATCTGAATTTATTTACCATTTGACTTACCCATTACTACCATTATGATATGTTAGAACTCATTTATACAAATATATGAGCATGTTCAAGAATGACTCAAGCTCGAAGTTTAAGGTTAAGAAGAGGAAAATAAAAGGGAAAAAAGGAAGCTAAAATCTTCCCAGGATAAAGTCAAAAAACAGCTTGCGTTTTCAACTTTCTGACAGCACCCTCGCATTAAGCCTTGCACTTGAAACATGGATAAGCATAGATTCAAGACTGATGGAGTATTTTTTGATTTCATGTTAATCAATCTGATATTCTGGAGTCAACCATTTGATGTGCATTTATTCTGATGTGCAAAAAACATGGACAGCTCTTGCACCAATAACTTCTCTAGTGCTTTTGTTACTTTGTTCTGTTTTCACTTTTTCTTATTGTATTTGTCTTTAGGCTATCTCCTCCAAGTTCTTGAATTCAGACTCTCTTCATTTAAGATAGGAAATTGACTAAATTTGAAGAAATTTTTACCATCCACCAAATATGAACTGTCTAAATCCTCCACCGCCCCCCCCCCCCAAAAAAAAAAAATCACGATAAATGAATAGTTTTAACAGGTCCAGATCATCTTATTCAATGAGATCTAGAAATATGTTCAGAAAATTGTCACATTCATCCATAAAATTGAATAATCTGTAGGATTTCTTCTCCCTTTCTAAACTGTCTTCTTTTATCCAAAAGAAAACACACGATTAAATATTTCTGGATAAAAATCTCTCATGGTGATTGTGATCATAGGTGAGTGGATGCTCATTGATAAATGTCTTGGTCTGGCTCTGGTCAACCGATTCAATGCAAACGAGGTATTCAAGTGTCTTATTCACTGGGAATCTGGGACTGTCAACTTGGAGCTTTGGTCAGGAAGCAGGCCTGTTTCGAAGCAGTCACCTTTGAGAATTGCTCATGAATACGAGGTGGTGAGAATCCCATGATTACTCAAATGGTCACTGCATGAGTGGTTAAAACATTCAGAACAGAGGACTGTAAAATACGCGTTTGAGAAAGAAAACTATATCCAAAATCCAAATATCAGTTCCTTCTTCCTTTTCACTGGTGTTTTTGTAGGGAAAAATTATGTGAATTGGGTCCTTTCTTCCATCTGGTGGGCAAGCTGGTGGGAATGTTAGGGCTAGTTAGGCCACTAGAAATGGGCTTCACGGAAAGCAATAGTGACAAATATTATAATTTGTAATCTTATTTGTTGGTGAGAAGCTAGAGGAGGAAACAACCTTTTCTAAAAAATTAAAGGATAGTTTGTTTCAATGTTTTAATGAAAATTTACTTCCTTTTTTTTTTTGTGAAAAAGCATATGTAAGAAATTTAAGGATGTTTGTTTAAGGTTTTTTTTTTTTTTTTTAAATAACTAGATTCAATGGGAAGTTCTCGAAGTAGCTTTTAAAAATAGACAAACGTGATGGAATGTAAAATTAAAGAGATAGGCACATATATAGTAAAATGGGAAATTCACTAAAAAATAAAATAATTTGTTTTTCACAAAATCTTTTTTATAAAGTTCTAAATAGTCTGAAAAATACAGAAAGTAAATGAGAAACGGAGATGCAATGTGTGGCAGTCGATGAAAGTAAGAATACTTCCTTTGGATCAATCCCCGCTCGATATGCTTCTTTTAGTCCAAAATCACTGGGTAACATAATAGTTTCTTTTTCTTGTGTAACATGCAAGAGCCTAGCAATTTCACACACTAACACACTCGGACCATCACCATTCCTTCACTTCAAAGAGGCGCATGAGGCTGTAATATGCAATCAAGTTTATCGAGTACGACTGCTTTGCTTTTCATTTACACTTTCTCTAAATGTCTAACAAAGGTTGCCAGCCACGGGTTGTGAGGGTAAGGAACAATAATATACACCCGAAGTATCATGTCCTGTAACCCAAAAAAAAAAAATTTCTCTCAGCAACTATGTTACAAATCGAGCATTTGTTATCTTCAGATTAGCAAGTACAAGTAATGTAATATAAAAAAAAATGAGCCTCTAATTTAGAGGGCTAACATGATGACTTTGCTATAAAAAGGCTGGCTTGTAGCATAATTACATCAGAAAAACAGCTTGCTCGTACATCCCATTTACCAGCAAATGGGGAAGTAAATGGTGATCTGATTATGAGGAAGTATTCTCTACTCCGTCTCCTCTCAGAAGGAATAGATCCGACTTCCAAATCTCATGAAAACGGGCATGAACTATAAGCATTTTAAGGTGAGCCCAAAGTTTAGTGCCTCTTTCTTCTCCACAATTATCTAGTGTACATCTTTTTTTAAATTTGTATTTACAGGTGTTCGCTGTTCTTTCATGGCTTCTTTCTCTAATTTCTTCTTTTCGGCGTCTGCCTGCCTTTCATTCTCCTCCCTTGATTTGTTGAACATCTTCACGAAGACAACCAGGATTTGAGTCACTGCAACCACAGACCACATGCAGCTTAAATAATTAACATGATGTTCAAAAAACACAATCACGACGATCACAAGTTCTGCAAGAGGTTAACATTGATTATGTCGTATAAGCCTAATTGCTTTGTGTCGTCGCATTACAACAAGGCCAAGCTGTAGCGCAAGGAAACAATCAAGGGAGGCACTTTGTTCTAACTTCCAAGAATTATATATATATATATATATATATATAAAATCTTAAGAACAAAGGAGGCGCAGAAAACAAAAAACAACAAAAAGAAAAAGAAGTTTTAAAATAAATCAGTATGGAATGGATCTCCATGGTTGTGAAAATTTCTCAGACCACAGCGAAGAACTTCTGCATGTTTGAGCATTTCATGCAGGTTTTGCTTCTATAGAATCCACGTATCATATCTTGCTAGGCGGAAAGCCTGTAATATAATATTGCGTCTTACAATGACATGATAGCAAAAATAAGATGTGGCAATTCTGACGATCCTCTCATACTTTTGCAAAGCAGAACGCGGGCGCGCCCATTTCTCTCTTCTCGTATTTTAAACCATTCAAGCAGTGAACATGAAGATCAGGAATCTCGTAATATGCATTAAAGTACTAAAAAATGAAATCCAGGATGAGAGAAGCCTGACCCAAAAACTACAAGAAGGGGGAAGAAATAGATTACTTATAAATCCTTTCATATTTATGTGAGACTAACAAGCTTCAACAGACTATATATATTAATTCCATGGCATTACTCAAACAAAACATTAGAGTTCACCATGATAACTTCAGATGATTTTTCCAAAGATCTTTAGTTGTGCTTTTGCAGCCAACTAAGACGTTGTTTTCTTTCATCATTCTTGATTCCTTAAAAAGAATTAGACAGATCACAGGTAAGCAACAACACAGCCCCAAAAAAAAAAAAACCTAGATCCAAATGTATTTGGATACATGCAGGAAAACATCAGACCTTGCTCAAAGGGGCACCGAGCTGGATCCTCCCCAAAGTACTGGGACAAAGAATCTGCATTTCTTCCCTGAAAGAGAGCAATAAGACCAAGCCCAGAATTACGGAGAAGTTGGCGCAAGAGATTATTAAAACAGTTCTGGCTATTACTGGGATGTATGATTCACATATATGGGACAGAAAAGCTCAGACATAAAACAGGGAATATACATTATGCGTAGTTATGTATACATTGAAAATTACTAAACATGACTCATAGTATTATAAGGTTGTAGATTCATAACATTTTGGCAATTTTTTATAATCACACCCCATTTTTTTTTTTTAAGATTCTGTTCAGTAAACCTTTTAAGAGCCATGACATCATATTTTTTTCCAAGATATCCTACTAAAAAACAGTTGTTAAACTACACATTTCAAGCTATGTATAAAAAAACATGATATACTTCAAAAAGCATCTTCTAATCTCTTATACTTTTGGCCTTCTCTCTCTCTCTCTCTCTCTCTCTCTCTCTGTTTTTTTTCTTTTGTTAAGGCCAATCCCCTTTTGGATTATTTCTTGAGTATCAATTATGGATGGTTCCATTAGTACAAACCTGGCCCTCATCAGGCATCATGCGGGTCAGCCTCCCCTATCAGGAGGAACATCAGATTAGAAGGATGTGGGAACAAATTATGTTGACAGGACCTACCACTTCAGTATACAATGATATGAGTGACCTCACTTCAGCTTCAGCAATATCAAGAAAATTCTTCAACACCTGAGAAGAGAAACATCATACTTAAACCAACAAAGTACATATTGTACGAAGACCATGAGTAAAGCACTAGTTAACTTATCAAGCAATATATAGGCTGCCATCCCTGGTTCCATCATGGTAGCCTTAGGGAAATCATATTATTCATCTTTGAGAAAAAAGATTCTAGATCCAATCCTAAGACTTGGGAAAACATCAAGTCTTAATCTAATAAAGCATATAATAATTTCATGCCAAAAATACAAACAAACAAATTTAGTTAACAAGTGCAGGATAACTAGCAGTCATTGATCATATTATAATCATTCAAAGAAATCACAGCATCACTTTTGATTCAGTGGTTTGGATAGGGCAAACATTCAAGTCTTCTCTAATGCTAGAGTGCAGAGATACACACACACACATATATATATATATCAGAGGTAGCAATAAATCTCTCCCTGTAGAAGCAAACACTTTCTCTTTCTCACCTTACGGAAGCCTGCAGATATGACACCATCATTTTCTGAAGCAGTAAGTTCTTGCTCAACTTTTTCCAGACCTTTACTAACCGCTTGCATCTCTTCAGCCAATGCTTTTAGTTGGATCTAGATGTTGGACATAGAAGGCACAAGTTCAGAAACAAATAATAATTACAAAAGATCATTTGGAATAGATCTCACATCAATAGATGGAAGGTTCTAGGTACAAAAAGAATACCTTTGAAGCTGCTTCCAAATGAACAAGATCCTTGCCAAAATCTAGCAATTCTGGCATTTTCTCAGAAAGAAGCTAGTGAGAGAAGAATATAACTTCATCAGACATCATATGAGAATTGTATCAATGGCCAACAAAAAAAAAATTGGATTTTTTACTCTTCTAAGAAGTAGTAGTAAAAGGAACTTATACTTCGAATAAAAGATGGCCAGGGAAAAAAAAAACTCATTTGAGGTCAAACAAACAGAAATTATAAGGAAAAGTAATAAGAATTATTCAGATAAATACGATTTAAGTGAATGAATACTGTAAAGTAATTAAAAGGGAGTTAGATAATGTATGGAATCTTAACAGTGCTCATACAATATACATGGCACACGATAGTACAGTGCAAAAGTTTATCTGAAGCTTCTGCCATGCCCACCTTACACAAATAATGCATCAAAGTCATTTTGTTATTCCTCGCACGAGTATCAGATAATTTAAGAAGGCTATCTAATTTGAATCCTACTGCAGATCCTGCAACACGCATCAGAGAAAAGTATAAGCAAAACTGTATCGTAGAAATTTGTCAAGTCAGAGGAGCCATGCATTAAAGCTCCATATCAGATCATAATACAAGAACATAAAGCTAACAACAGATACCTCGTGCTGTTCCCTGATTTAAGGCATTACCCAGAGTAAGAATAGTTTGCATTATTTGACGCAACTTCAAAGATTCTTTCACCTGGAAGTATGAGCAATAACATGAAGATGTGGTCAGATAATACCTTCAGGTTTGTTAACTCGGAGCCATTAAACTTAGCCATACCTCCCTAGCAGCATAATTGATTGTGTTCAAATTTAATCTCAAATCATTCACCTGAAGAAGAGAAAAGCATGAAAGAATACTAATAACAGCAGAACGCAAAATCATTCACAGCTCTGCATAAGCTAGATAACATACCTGACTAGAAAAGGTGATTTTAAAAGCAAAAACTCGTAATTTAGCTTCTACTCGTGGAACCTTCATCAGCTCCATGAAAAACTGAAAGATACCAAATAATGATCATTAGGATCCCCATGTAGAATCTGCATGGTCTCAAAAACTGAAGCCTGTTCAAAAGAGAGAACCTGTTCACACTTTCCAAGCATTTCCTTGTTCCCAGCGTAATTCTGAAAGGAGAATTTTTTTTTAATGAAGAAACAAGAAATAATTTTTGTAAAAGAGACAGTTTAATAAGAAAATTGCCCGAATCTACAAATTTAATACACAATTATCTTTGGAAAAGAAGTCCCACACGCTTATTAAACAAAATAGCATATCATACAGTTATTGAGGGTCCTTCTCGGTCAAAACTTGAAGCTTCCCCTTCAACAAATTTTCATGAGGAATGCGCCACAAAGTTTCATAATTTACTTAAAAAGTATATATCAATACCTTACCATCACCTTTAAACTTCTGTCCAGAATAGGACACATCAACATAAGGCAATATCAATACTATTTTAAAATTTAACCCTAACAAAATGAGCAAGCAAGCAAAGATAGCAAGATAATGATGCAAACGACAGAAAAAATAGAAGCAAATGAGAAACAAAAGAGGGTTAAACATTGGAGACAACGATTTACAGAGATACCAAAATAACATGGAATACATGATGTTAAATAATGTCACACATTGATGTTCACAATCATGTGACAGATTCCTCAGAGGCAAAAGAGAAGAGGAAGTACCTTCAACATTTCCATTTCTTCCTTTGTGGGGCAGAACTTAATAAGATTCTCAACCTGATCAATGTCTAAAGCAGAAGAATCTAATGCCAGAACTGCATTCTGAAGACCAGATAGCAAAATCTATGAGCATGCCAACAAATAGAAAAAGTAAAAATAACAACTGTTGAGGAAAGAATTGAAGTTAATCTAACTGAAAAAACTAACATAAAAATTAAGATTAGATCAGTACATTAGTGTTAACAACCTTAGTTAATCGGTGCAAAATACATTCAATTTAATTAAATTAACATTCAGTCTAGCAAATCCCAGTTAATTATAATAATTATAAACCTCAGTTAATCCCAGTTGATTGCCTCACTTAAACTTGAGACATCCAGCAAGGACATGAGATTTAAGATATCATAGGGATAGATAGCTAAACTTATGAGCATATCAACACGTGAAAAAAAAAAAAACAATTGTTGAGAGCTGAACATAAACATTAATCTAATAAAGAAAATAATATTAAAAACGCAGATTAGGTCAAATTAAAGATAAAGATCTTTGTTAATATGTTCACATTACATTCATTTTGGTTCAAATATGTGGGAAAATACTGACAGAATCCTCCCCAGCTTGAATAATCAGCCCCATTTCATAGTTTTTCCTTCCACACTTGAACACTTAAACTATTGGGACATCCAGCAAACAATCATGCGAATTGAGAAGCCACTAAGTAAAGCAATAAGCCTTTAAGTTTGGAAGATAATTTCCAAGTACTACTAGTTGACTTTGGTAATTTCCCAACTGGTATCCAACCCTCTCAAAGCAAAAAAAAAACATGACGTGCTTGAAATTTAAAAGATGTCCAACACGTATGTAGTGTAAATGAGATTCAAATGAACATCCAAGATATAATTTATCAAAAATATGCATATGCTACTAATGCAAACACACACACACATATATATATAATTTTTCAAGGAAAAGAATATAAACAAACAAGAAAAAAAAAAGAATTCATCCTAAAACAAACCATGTAAGCAGCCTTTACTCATCATAACTCCAACACTACTTATTTGACATCTGAACGCCAAAATCTTAAATAAGAGCTGACAATACCAATTGCATAAACTCCTTATACTATAGCAAGCTGGAGCTCTTTGGGGACCTAATTGTCATAGACCTCTAACCTAAATGTCCTATTACACCATCAAGAAACATGAAATCCAAAGTTGTGAAACTTGACGTGCATATTCCTCACATTTATTCCTCTAGAAGACATAGCAAAAAGCATATAATTTCTCTAATATAACGTGAATGAATGTGCTCAAAGGTTCAGGGTGCATCTAACTAACTTTAGATTGCAAGATGCTGTGATTGAGAGAAACTTCTGAATCTAGAATGAAAGATGTAATGTCAGTTGACAATGAGATCCCAAAAAGGGGGGGAAATAAAGATAAGCCAACTTACAAGCATGTCTGGCAAAGGAATTTTGATTTTAGAGAGCATTATCTCACAATTATAAGCTCTTCGCAAGTCAATCTGAAAACAAGAAAAACAAAACAAACTTGAGTATTTATTTTATAATCACATCTCACATACAATGATAAACAAAAACAAATCATAAATAAAAATAAAGGTCAGAACAAGGAAATAAAACAATATCAGCTTTAAAGCACCATATCTCGCATCCCTAGCAACTGCAAGCAGTAAATATGATTTTACATAAAACAGGCAAAAATTGGAATTCCAATATAACCTGCTTTTCCTTTCTTTACAACCAACAGAATTAGTTTGCCTATGTCATGATTCTTTTTTGTGGTTTTTTGATATCAAATCAAATATACGGGTATATCAAAGCAAAAAATGTCCCACCCATACATTTCTTAAGCAATGATTACCACCTCTTCATTGTCATTTTAGGACAAGAATGATTAGCATTGAGGTTAATTCTTTTTTTTCCTTTCTCTCTCTCTCTCTCTCTCTCTCTCTCTTTTTCTTTGGATGCAAGCATTGAGTTTAATTCTAGTCATGGACATCAGCTCTTAAGAAATAGCAGGTCAGACCTCATTTGAGAACCGAGAAAATAATGCTACACTATGCACAATCATGAAATGATGGCAGCAGTACATTTACACAATTAATGTAGTCAAACTTGATTGCAACACAAATGGATAGGAGAAAAAGAATATATTGAGTACTGCCATACCCTAATACTTAAATGCCAACTTAGGGGTGACATACCAATTGAACTTTCTCAGGTTTATTGATATTTGAACCTCGCCGACCTGCACCTTTAGTACTGCTCACATCAGAAGCAGACGCTGCTGAAAACAGACTCTCGAGTTCTGATATATCAATTTCAGGGGGCCTAAGAGAAACACATCAAAAATCAGAAATTGTAAAACGATCATTGCATCAGACCCTTGTGGAACCTTACCAAAGGAAAACAGAGAGAAGATAAAACAAATTAGGCAACAAGAGTGCCAAACATGATAAACAATAGTTATAATGACTTCCTAGCAGTTAGAACTATGATCTGATTTCTGGAAACTCAAGTGCAGCATCTGAATGAAATTTCAATACTCACTACTCAGTACCTTGATTGATTATCTTGTTTCTCTGAATCAGCCCATAGACTCCCTTTCATTGCTCGTGTAACTTTCACCCAATGTAGGGGCTTTAATGAAGCTTTCTTAGGGGCATTAGCAGTCCCACTAGAACCTCGACCTCTTCCAATATTTGTTGATGCTAAAGAAGGCTTGCCTTTGGCAGTGGGTGGTGGTGGCAGTGGCACATTAGATCCCCTAGATACTAGAGGGGGAGGGGGAGGTGGTGCACCCACACCCTGACTAGGTACTAGAGGTAGGGGAGGTGCTGCACCTTGACCAGGAGGTGGAGGTGGGGGAGGTGCTGCAATTCGAAAAGGTGGTGGTGGAGGTGGAGGAGGTGTTGCACCTTGACGAGGTGGTGGTGGAGGTGGCTTTGTGTCACGACCAAGTGGCGGCGGTGGAGGAGGTGGAGGTGGAGGTGGCATTGCACCTCGGCCAAGTGGTGGTGGTGGAGGAGGGGGAGGTGGCAATGTGCCTCGAGTAGGTGCTGGTGGAGGAGGAGGGGAAGGTGAAGGATGCATTGCACTTTTGCTAGGTGGTGGAGGTGGAGCTTGACTTGGTCGTAAAGGTGCAAGTGGTATTGTGCCTTGACTAGGTGGTGGTGGTAGAGGAGGTGCATTTGGCAGTTTTGCCATAGGAGGTGGTGGAGGTGGTCTAGGAGCATTATGAGCTAGGGCAGAAGTAGAGGGAGGAGGAGGTGGTGGTGGAGGAGGTCTTGCTACTCGAAGGGGCTTAGTATTATATGAAGTTGAAATGTTTAATAGTGCCAGTGGCATTGGTGGTGGAGGAGGCGGTGGTGGCGGCAGCAATTTCTGCGGCACCTCGTTAATTTTACTCCCTATTGTGGGTGGGAGAGGTGGTGGGGGAGGAGGAGGAGGCGGCAGCAAGGTTTGTTGATTGAAGTGGATTGGTAAGGGGTTGGTGGGGATGGTGGCAAAGTTTTGCAAGAGACAAATGGGGGTGGAGGAGGTGGAGGAGGGGGCGGTATTGGGCCCTTGCAATTTGCTGATGATGATGTAGAAGATGTGGAAGGATCTCCACTGATTTTAGAAAGATGTGGAGGAGGTGGTGACGGTGGTGATGATGGAGATGAATTGTGAGGATATTCATTACTAAGAGCATGATGAGACAGTGGAACAGTTTCAGTCGATGGATCTGGAGGTTCTGAAGTAAGATGTACATTATTTCTACCATCACTTTCAAAATCTAAATGGATTGAATGAGGGTTGTCAGGTGCCAATAACTTTGAAATATCAGTAGAAGACTTATGCTCAAAGGCTTCATCTGAACTATCAGCAGTGCTTGATTCATTATTTTCATCTTCAGAGTCAGCAGGTGATGAGTACCAACTTGACTTACCTTGCAACCTTGATAGCTCTTTGACATCATTTAACACAGAAAGTTGTTTAAGCAACCAGACTGCAGCATCTTCACCACTGTCAAGCCACTCCACACCACTAAAAAGTTCTTGAACCCTTGAAAAAGCTTCAATTGGCAATCCACCTTTCTCCTCGCCATTTAACACAGTTGTTGGGGCTTTTGGAGGAGATATGGTTTCAACCTCCCCAAACAAAACCTAAAATTCAAGATTTTCCATCATTAGATATCTTGCCCATTTTACTAGGAAGAAAAATATAACCATGAGTATTCAATATTTAGGCTTTTCACATAATGCCAAATAAATAAGTACTCACCTCAGCTCGGAAGCCTTTTGGGTACCGCTCCTTTGAATCCCAGAGAATGTCCAGGTTTTCAGCATTCAGCATCAATATGTTGGATCGAATAAATGCTGTGTTGAACATTATGCGAAACATCATTACTTCCCTTTGAGGATTCAAGTCCAAATGGACACATTCCAATACCACATCTCCTTGTACTAAACATTGAATGTCAATCTTGATCACATCACACTCTGCCTGATATAAGAGAAAATAAATTGTAGCTGCAGTTAATAGGTATAAGTTAATGCAATAAACTAAACATAACATGTAATGTGGATCCCAAAAAGGCACACCTGACGGTAGTGCCTCAAAGATTTCTTTTTCTTGTGCATGGAGTAGAGCATCTGAGTAGAAAGGCCACCCTTGCTGAGAAAATTTCTACCAAAAATGCGGATCATGGGTCTGCATCCATTATGGGAATCAAAACTAGGAATGGCTCTGAGAATGACACAATCTAGGAAAGAGCTCTCTCAGGTGGAGGCCACTCAGGAGCTATGTTCCTTCTTGCTACATACTGAACATAACGAAGCTGAGATGGCAACGGGTTCAAAGGCGACAATAGCTGTAAGAAGCCTTTGGGTGCCTCTCTATGCACCATTTCAAGTGTCTTCCGTTCACCACTGTGCAGTCTTCTATAAATTAGAAAGCTGGCTAAAAGAAACCCCAAGAGAGGCCAACCTCCTCTCTCACAGTGGAGAAGGATAACATTCTGTTGATTCCCAAGTGAAAGCCAACTCTCACAGACACGAAGAAAATGTTGAACCAAAGACACCGGAAGAATAGGGCAACCCTCATACTGTCGCGGATAATCCATCACAGTAACATCGTATTCACAAAGAATTTCAGCAAATTGACTACGTTTCTCTCCTTCACGAAAATTGAATGCGAAAAAGGAAGAGTCCGGGAATTCTTCGTGTAACTCGGTAATAATTTCATGTAAATATATTTGGTACATTCCATCAAGCAATGCCTCAGTGGAAAAGCAGGAATCGAAAACTGCATATCACAAATATCCAAGAAAGCTCATGACTTCTAAGAAATGCAGAAACTTCGAAAACGAAATTTTGAAATAGAGGGTTTCGATATTTACCGTAAATTCTATCGACAAATTCCAGCAAACCATCAGGTGGTCTCCTGTAAAAGAATCTGCTAAGAAGCGACATGTTTCGTGCACTGAATCACATGAGTCTAGAACGATAATGGAGCTGAGAAACTGATGCTCAGAGTTTCAATTTGGTTCGAAGAGGACACGCCCACCTCCTGTACAATGTCTAGTTTTTTTTTCTATTTAATTCAAAACAATGTGTAGCTGTTTGGGAAGAACGCGGACAATTTGAAATTTGAAAAAGTTGAAGAAGACGATTGAGTGAGAGGGCCACCAGTTAGATTTCGAAGCAACATAGATGGCGGCGTCAAATTATTGCCATTAATACCAGATCTTTTTTTCCTAAGCCACTGAATTAAATTGAGCAGTCATTGGATTTTTGTTTGGATTCGTTTTGTTTTGGTTACAAATCGAAATTTCGGTCATTTCGCTTCGCAACGCTGGTAACAGCGATGTCATTACGGGCATGTTTTATTTTTCCCTCGTTACTTGATATATCAAATATAAAATCAGAAAGATTCATTGTCACAAATATTCATTGACTAAAAAAAAAAATCAATTTCCGTTGCAATCTGTTCGGGTCTATTTGGTCTGAGAAAAAAGGAAGGAAAGAGATTTTAATAAAAAGATGGGAGGGATGATACCTTATTTAGTTTAAGAGGAAAGAAAAATATATATATATATATAAATAATTTTACTCTTTTCTTCATAAAATTGTTTTTCCTCGTAAAATATAGTAATTAATGTTTTTAATATATAATTATTCATAATTTATACATATATTGCCAATAATACATTCAATAATAATTTATTTATAGTTTATAAAATAAAGGTATGAACAAGTAGTAAATTTATTAACATATAATGAAAAAATAGCAAAAATAAAATGAAAGAAGGGAGCCTTAGCAAAAATAAGAAAAAAAAAATCTAATCTCTAACACAAACAATGACCTGAACTGAGGGAAAAACGATGGCATTACAAGGCGAGAGAAACAAAAAAATAAAGGCATTTTTGGATTATCAAACTATAATAGAAATATAATAGTCCCAACATAACAAAGTTACATCCTTCTCCTCCTTATCCCTAAGGGTGTTTAAAACCGATCCAAATCGAAAAGACCGATCCAAACCAATCCAAACCGACAAAAACCGACCAAAACTGAACAACAATCAGTCTGCTTCGGTTTTTATGATATAAAAACCGATTGGTTCGGTTCAAGTTCGGTTTTGAGTACTAGAAACTGAATCAAACTGATTAAAAAAATTTTATTTATTTATTTATAAAATATATAACCATTTATCTACAAGAAGCATTTTGTTTTGAATTTTTTATAGTAATAAATAAACATTTTTAAAATACTTGAATGAAAATGCATAATATTAAGTAATTATAATAATCATGCTATGATCATCATTTAATTATTTACAACCTAAAAGCCTCAGCATTCAATTTATCTACAAGAAACATTTTGTTTTGAATTTTGTATAATAAGTTTTTCATTATTTATTAAAATATAGATACATAGATAAACATTTTCAAAAGATTTTAATAAAAATACATAATATTAAATAATTTTAATCTTAAAAACTTATATCAATTTTTATGATTAATTGTTGTTATCACATTGAAATTTTATTATATTTTTATACCTCTATTTATGAAAAAAAAGGAGTCAAAAAGAATTAAATTTAATTTTAGTACATAGCACCATTATGAAGATGAAAAAAAGGAAAAAAAATTAAACAAGTGCATTAAAACTTAATCAAAACCTTAACTAAACCGAACCAAACCGAACTTCATAAAAACCGATTAGGTTTCAATTATCAGTAAATCGAATGGTTCGGTTCGGTTTGGTTTTTGCCCAAAATCAAACCAAACCGAACCTATGAACACCCCTACTTATCCCCCATTTAGAAGGGAGGGTTTGGAAGGAAAACAAATTTCTCCTTTCCCTTCCCTCCTCTCACCCACAACCAAACATACCCTTCAAGCTAAGTTATAATTTATACAAATTTTTTAAAAAATAATTTCTATAAAAATAAACAATATTTTAATTTCAAAAATATGTCTAGATTAATGAAAAGTATTTCAATATTTTTTTTTGAAATCAGATTAAGTAATACCTTTTTTTTTAAGTTTAAGAAAGAGATAAGAAAGATAATAACTTAAAGGACATGATTAAGAGTAAAATAAGATTTCTTTTTAAAAGTTTGTCCTGAGTTAGATAGTAATTCTTTCTCCTTGTCTATATGTAAGGCTGCCCTTACCAAGTTGTAATCTCCCTACACTTACCACCATTAATTTCGAAAGTCAAGGCAATCACTAAACTCCATGGGAATTATTAAGTTTTCATAATTGTACAAATGGATTAAGCAAACTTTAATAATTTACAAATAGGACAAACAAATTTCTAACAATAACATGGGATCCTAAAATTTTCATATTTGAAATACTCTTATACACTTCCTTTATGCAAATTTGAGCTTTAAAAACAATTACGAAAACCAAGAGATCAGAGAGAATCAAAATATGTGCACAAAGTCTTAAAACGATAAACTGTGTAGAAAATAACACATGTGCCACGGCTAATTGCAGGTGCGATATGGCTTGTGAGCTTCTGTGACATACCACTGCCTATTGCACGATTTTTGATAGCAAACTTTTGCTGTCAAATGATTGCACGAGGACAAACTTCCAATGCATTATAAATCTTTATCCGATGTTTGATTGGGGTGATTTTGGTGTCTATAAAGAGCTTTCTTCTAACTCTAGTTAATGGCACACATTTCATAGAGAAACTTATTTTCTATCAAAAGCTAGATACCCAAATCTATTTTTACTGTTTTTCACAAAAACTTACAACTAGGGTGTCCAAACTCTTACACAAGTGCCAAAAGCCTAAATCATCCTTTAGACCACACTCAATGGACCGTATAGGACTCATGCAACACACCACAACCAATCAGATGCATGCATATCAAAATTTCACCACTCAACCTATCAAATCACCAAAATGCAAGAGGGAGGAAAATTTTGACAAATCACCAATATCATTCCAAAATATCCTAAAATACACTTTATACTACTTGCATAAGTATTTTGATCCTATACAAATTAAACAACCATAACTCACTTATCTCTAAGCACAAATACACATGAATTTTATAATGATAATGCAAGTAGATCAAAATAATGACATTAGTCATAGTTGGCAAATTAACAACATTAAATACACATGAGGCCTACAAGTAGGATTTACATAGAAATTCTAAGCCTCAGCATGTTTTTCCTAGTCTTGGTCTAATGAGCTAGGCCTTAAAAATATTGAAGAATGAGATGTGAGTACTATCACTTACTAACTGAGATCTACCTAATTTATACAGTTGTATATTAATTAGAAACAGATGCAAATGACAATATACATACATAACACGCACACATGCAAATATAGCTACGACTATAATAATAACAACCATGTGATCAGGCATGCAATATATATCACATGTCATATCACAACTATACACATCATGGGGTCTCAAAAATTATAATCATGAGCCCCTAAAATATGTCGGACCATAACAATAACAATCATGTAGCCAGAGCTAAATGTATGACCAATGCTAACCTTATACCCTCTTATTACCTCTGACATGAAATCGATAACTATTATATGGCTACGTCCCTAATTTGAACTAACCTAGCCTTCTACTTGTGAGAAGCTACTGGGGCCAAGGTTAACTCACTCACTTGTGTATCGCCAACCTTCTCATAAATCAGTGGAGACTAGTTAGATTTGAGTTCCTCATAAAACAAGTGGGACATTCCTGAATCAATCATGGATAAAGGCTACGTTGGATATAATGGCTTGTGACATTATATTTAGCTTAAATTTTGATGATGATAAATATAGATGAGTTAATTATACTTATGCCTAATTGGTTTCATATATATAGTAGTTGACTATGATTATGGAATAAGTGCTTTAAAGTGTTTTTACTTATGTTGTTCCATATTACATTAGATTTGAAAAAATGATTTGTGTGCATTAAAGTTATTTTATACTATCATATTTTTTCTTATCTTAAATTCTATATCCAAAAGTGTTAATGGTATCATCTTCTATAACTTAGATATATGCATATTGACACTTGAAATAATCATTTTGTTCATAATATATCATTTAAGGTTGTCCAAAGTGAAGATGAGAGTGAGCATGAAGAGGAACAAAGTTGAAGTCATCATTTGAATGCTACACTTATAATTTAAGAACATAAAGATAAAGAGAAGGATTATCCAAGAAAAGCTTAAAAAGAATGAAGATATTCATACAAGCTTGGATGCACCTTGAAAGCCTTAAACTTAATAGGTATAATATCATTAGGCTAGAAGTTTTATGTTAAACTCATTTATTTAGATATGCAATATTAGCTCAAAATATTTTAAATCAAAACTTGCATTTTAGCTATTAAGAAAAAGAGTGAGATATAATTTTATATAATCATGTTTTTCATCTTTAATCACATATTGTCTCACAACGTTTGAAATACTTTTATTACTAGCTCCATAAAGTTTTCAAAATAGTTATATTTACTCAAAATGGGGTTAAGTTAAAAATGTCATGAACACTTGAAGTCTAAGCTTTGAAATAGCAATTATGCAAAAAATTAGTTTTGACCTTTGGTCATATTTCTTGTCATAGACCATTTTAATCTGAAACATATCTCATTTAAAAATAGACTTCAATGTCTTTTCAATGATAATTTATTTATTTAAAATGGAGTTCTATTGAGAAAAATATGAAGTTTAGAAGTTAAGTATTGAGACATTGATTCTACACAACTTTTAGTCTTGACCTTCATCCACTTTTTTGATCATATCTCATGCGATGCATTTAATTTTAGTATGAAATTTCTTTTATTGAAAACTAGACTTCAAGAGCTTTCTAGTAATATATAATTTGTCAAATTTAGAGATGTATTGAGTGAGTTAGGACATTATGAAGTTATGTACAATGAACCCTCAAAATCACACGTAAGAGCGGCTGAGATGCATGCATAATTTAGCATCAATGTCTAAATCACACATGAAACCTCTCTGTACACAAGTGTGAAATTGCACTCAGAAGCTTTGTTTTGCATTAAATAGTCTTTATAAGCTAAATCACTCGTGAAGCACCTTATACACACGCCTGAATAACCTCCAAAGCCTTATGTTTCATTACATAGCCTCTATGGCCTAAAACATGCATGAAACACTTCCAAAACACATGTGATTTGTCTTTTAGGAACTACCACATGCAATTTCTTGCGTGATTTGTTAGGTTTCTAAGCAAGATTTTGCACCTATGTATGTGGAACTCTCAAATACA